AAAAATTTAGGAAATTCGTTTGACCTTTAACTTTTTGCATTAGTTTATAACTTGATTATAACCTTACAATTGAAGCAGAAAAACGTATAGTTTACTCTATTTTAAAGGTATTCTCTTTCCTAATTATAATCCAAAACAAATCTACCTAAAACATTATCGGATGAAAAACAATGCACTTGGATGCTTGTGTATGTACCATTAAATAATTTCGTAAAATATTGAGTATTCTTTTAATGACTTTAAGGAATGTAAGTAAATATTAATTATTCCTGTTGAGCTTTCTATGATCGTTAAAAACAAATTCCTATTCTCCATTTATCGACCTTGTGGAATCTGTATTTCTTTGTGCGTGGCAATTTAGTGTGTATTAATTCGAGAAATTGAAACCGCGCCGTTACAAGGTTCAAGGTCAAGCAGGACCTTTTTCAGAACATCGACTACAAATGAAACGGGGCATTAATAATCACAAGAAAGTAATTTCTATGTAAAATTGAGTGGAAATGGTAGGGAATTAATTACATTATGTCTCAGATTTATATATTCAGCGAGGAATATTAAATTATTGGGGCTTGCAAGATTTGGATAATTGAATTCTGCTCAGCCATATCAATATAGCGAAATTTTAAGTAGGTACAAAGTGATCCAGATTCTGGTGATTGTAGTGCTGAATAATTTCTTAGAGCCATTTAGACGAGGTTTGTTCAGAAAATCACCGAACTAAATTTATTTATTTTTATTAATTTTATACATTATTATTGGCCCGTGTCTCCCCATGTTTAAGCACAACACTATCTTCGTACTCTAAAATCGATACATTTTATTTTATTTATTTAAAAACTGTAAAACAATTGTCTTGAAATTTACTAAATGTTTCACAATAACAGTTGTTTACATTTTTTCCGTAGGACAAGTCTGCCGCGTGCACACGTGGCATGCACCAGCTGTGTTGCGTTAGGTTAAGCGCTGTTGCCACGTAGTGATGAAACTCCCCAATATTAATACTCGCTATATTTTGAAAACTGTTAATCTTAAGCCACTGTAATATACAACTTTTTTGTTCATTTATGATTGCTCTATCTCATGCTGAAGCAATGGCAGTCAATCTTCTTACACCCTGTAAACATGTCATAAAGATAGTTTAATATTTATTTGGCAAACGAAAATAATGACATCAGATATATTTTCGAGCTGAAGTTTTTAATATTATGTTTCGAACATCAAACGCAGATTTTTTATTTCTATATGTACCTGTCGTCCTTAGCAAAAGTTGGATTATATAATTATTGTCTTATCAAATATTATATTACCAGATGTATCCACTTTTTAAGTTTCTTTGTTCTCTAGCGACGTCTTGTTTATGTAGCTCGTTTGCTTTCCCCAACAAAATGCATTCCCATATATTACGATAAACTTACCGTTATCTGCAGACCTTTACAAAACAATAAAAGCGGATCTCCCATTAAACCAAACTAGTGAAAGTTGCTTAGGCAATTTGAATCATTTAACCCTATGCGAGGGGTCCTAATGGCTATTAAAATAATTTTGTACTTCATTGTCTTGCGCCATTGACTTTCCCAGATTGTCGATAAATAAACCCAGACAATTGCATGTCTTTTTCTATTCTGAACAGAGTTCGATCCAGAGCAGAAACTTTGATATCATTTAGAAGGGAACAATTTGAAAAATTTTTGGTCTAACTTGGAAGAATGGTTTATAAATAATATATTTTTAAAACGCTTGTAAGAAGTACATTTTAAAAATCCAGTTGTCTAAGTTGTACAAGAAAGTATATTTTATTGAACCACAATTGATATATGTGAAAACTGAAATAAAGGCGACTTTTCAAGAGAATTGATAATTAATTATCATAATTTCCTCTCAGTATGTGGATGGAAATTCTTGGACACCACGGAAAGGAAATAAACATTTCCGGTAGCTCTTGTCATAATAAAACAAAATGGGCCCTAAAAGGGCCTATTAGTTTTTCAAATGTTTTTTGCTAACTTGTTATTTATTGTAGCTATAATACAATGTTTATTATTTTTTCTTTGTTAGATTGTTGTCTTAGAATGACGAGTTTTATAACAATACCAGCAAATATAAATAATATAATATTTAAAATTTGTTTAGTGTCTCTGTCCATATACAGGACTTATTTGAAAATTCATTTACAAATTCAGGAACATATATTTTAAGTACTTTAGTAATAGGCAAAATGTTATCTTAAAAACCTTAAAAAAGTTAAAGTTGTTAACTGAAAAATCAAATATAGCATAGATTTAGAATTATTTTTTCTAGGTTAATTGTAGGAAATTACCAGGAATTGCACAAATATATTTTTAATAAAATGAATAGAAGCAGTGGAAATATAGCACAAGCATAAGATATTTTGAAGTAAAGTTGCAGGAGCAGATTGGTTCATACATACTTAAATCTAAGTTACATCGTTGCCAAGTGCAAGGCGATTTAAGAAAATTATGTTTGCTATAGTGTCTGTAAATCACAAGTTGTCCGATTCTTCTCCACTACATGAAAATTTAGCTTGATAGAAATCTGAAATCTTTTTCTAAAAATAGAATTGTTCTATTGTCTCACCATCCCCCGTTCTTTAGTTGAACTTTTTAAATATAAAACAAAAATTACAAACCAATGTTGAAAACTAATGAACACTATTATAAACACTATCACTACAGATACTCCGTACCTCCAAAAAATCTGAAAAAAATCATGCTTATGTTTTAGAAGTCACTGAATCCGAATCCGAGGTTTGTTGATATGATACACCCTTAGAGGTCATTCAAGGTCATTTCAAGGTCATTAATAATAATAATAATAATAATAGTTTATTTTTGACTACAAGTACTAATACAATTACAATTTACAATACATTGTAGGTAGAGCGTCTAAATAAATGAGAAAGATTACAATTTTCCATTAAAACCAAAACATGGTTGTGCATGGACAGTATGGCTATAATCATATTGATGACGCTCATATTTATAAAAAATAAAGTGAAATAACAGTAATCTAACTAATATCAAAGATCATGCAAACTAAGAAAAAGAGTAACTAAACCTAAAAAAAAAAAAATTATATATTGAATGGACTACGTGTACAGAGTGTCACGAAAGAAAGCTATTTAGTTAAGAATTTCAATTAGATTCCTAGTTTCTGTTCTACCTAATGTAATTATATATTTTTTAAAAATCTTTTTTTATCATTATTAATGAGTTTATTTTTTCTAACTAAATTTTATACATTTGTGGCAAACTATTAAAGACTTTTTGTGAAAGGTGAGTATGACGGCGTAGACTAATATTTCTTTGTGAAAGGACAATTTTTGCATTATTGTTTTTTTTTTTATATCTTGTACAATAACAATGACTGACTTTTTCAAACGTTTTGTTCTTGTAGATAAAGAGAATAATCTGGTGCATATACAATTGTCTAATATCGAGTATTCTAGTTTCTAGGAATAGTGTCTCAGATGGGTAAATTAGCTTTTTATTATAAATTATCTTTATTATGCGTTTTTGTAGTATATCAACTTGCCTAAGGTGACAATATGCAGCACTACCCCAGCTCAGTATTGCATATTGTAGTCTTGATTGAACTAATGCATAATATAGTATTTTTAAGTGTGATAAATCTAAAATATTTTTTGGGTATGTAAAACGATACAAAAGTTGCCTTAGTACTTTAGTTATGTTACTTGCATGAACATTCCATCGTAAATGAGAATCAATAGTGACTCCCAAGTATTTAAAATCACTTTTAGAATGTAATATTATATTATCTTTCAGTAACAAAGAGTGATATTTAGGTAGACATTTTATATTGTTGGAAAATGGCATAAAAAATGTTTTTTCGTAGTTTACCGTTAACAATTTGTGGCTAACTAAACCAATTAAAAATCATTGAGATCATGTTTCGTCATTATATAAAATAACAGTGTCATCTGCATAACTAAATATTTGGCCGGATGTAAAAGAAGTAAGGATATTGTTCATTCATGAAGTATTTTGAAAGAAAAGTTAAAATCAGTCTGAAAAATCTGAAAATATTCGTCTGAATGTTTTTAGGTCACTGAACGCGAATCCAAGGTTATTTAATAAAAATACTAATCAACTCAGGAACCTTATGTTTGCCTACCTCCTAAAACCAATCACGTATTCTGATACACTTGCGTTTTAGACTTTTTTACTTTTATTTTTTTTTTTGTCTGTATACTTAGGTAAAAGACTGAACAGCAATCAAGATGAGGAAGGGGCAGGGCTAACACAAACCACTTGCGTAACTGAAAAGACATAAAATGTTGAAAAAATTTATGATTTAATGATATAAGTAAACTCTTCAATACAATTTTTAAATTTTTTTACACAACTTTTTCTAAATTTAACCTTCAAATCACCTTGAAACTGACGTTATGGAGCTTAAATAACCTTGGATTCGAGTTCAGTGACCTCAAAAACATTCAGACGAATTTTTTCAGACTTTTTAGACTGATTTTAACTTTTCTATCCAAAATACTTCATGAATGACCTTGAAATGACCTTGAATGACCTCTAGGGTGTATCTTAGGAGTAAACAAACGGGTTCGTGATCAGCGACCCAAAACAATACTATATACCATAGTCACTTCTGACGATTGTCCCTAGAGCAAATGTTGACCTGTGTTATCGTAGCAAAACTTTCTTATATGTCGATTTCCCTAAGTAAGCGATAAATAGGGTTATGTCATTGGAGACACAATAGCAGCTCCGTGTACATAAATTAATCTAGCCAATGCACAACACTTAGTGTATCTCCAGAATACGTTGACAATCCTCGATTTATTTATACGTTCATCATTATTTTTGTCGCTTCTGTGATTCCAACAGTCAATAAAATTCGACTGGTACAAATATATCCGAAGAAACGACTTCTTCGTAATGGATACTAGGTAAATAATTTCGGGTTGGGTTTGCAGCCCGCCCATCTAGATCGGCGATAAATCTTACCGGTTAATTGAACGCTTTTCCTTGTTTTTCCCAGCTGATTGTCGGCCACGCAAGTGTAATTTCCAAAGTCCGATCTATGTACTTTACGTATCACGAGAGTGTGACGTGATCCCCGCGACTCCATTATTCTTCTCTCCGTCGTGTCCAGCTGCATTGTGTCTCTATACCACAGAACCTGAAACAATGGAGTAAATTAATACTCGCCCCCATTTATTAAAAGCTGTTTTGCTAAAATAATTCATGGGGTTATGTGAGCTGTAGCAGTTTTTCATCCCGCGCAAAACAGGGAATTTATTATTTCAATTTGCGGGGCAATTGTGCTTAAAAAATTCGCGTTACAAATTTAAAGTTACTTTGTGCATCTAAAACGTACTAAATAGGAACATAGAAATAAATGCTTCTGTGTAATTAGATGCTGTGTAATTTTATGAAAAAATTGTGATGAAATTCTTTATGTGAAACAATCAAATTATTTACTTATCAGCTACTTATACCAAAACTGTTTGAACAACTGCAGTTGATTTGTTACTTAGACCGGGAAAATTAGCGATAAAAAAAACTCGAAAAAATTTCTATCCGCGAGATTATTGTAAAATTGTCTAAAGGAACATAATACAAGACATCTCTCATCCCGTCAGTCAAAAAAGTTTAATAGCTAACTTTTCTATTTAAACAAATAAGTGAGAAAAACAGTTTTTTCACTGCAGGGAAAAGTGTCAATTTTTTAATTTGTTTATAACTATCGCGTTTATTGTTAAAATTTTATAAAACCTATGACAAGTTGAGGGTTTTGTCATACTTTAAAAGTGTGCCAAAAGTGGGCGCTGTAGGTGCAATAGTTTTCGCACAATTCAATTTGTGTATAACGTTCAAATTGATGCGCGCTGTAAAATTTTGCATTATCTCGGCTTCTATTCATCGTAGAAACTTCTTTTTTTAACTGGGGTAGTTCGACGAAAAAATAACAATGGACATATTTACGAATTCGTAGAATAGCCCTGAACACCAGAAAAAAATGCATCTTTTATACTTAATTTTTTTACAAATTTACAAGTTGTCTGTGAGTCACTTTTCGCTAAAATTGATGGTTTTCCCTGCAAAGTGAAAAAACTGTTTTCCTCACTTATTTGTTTAAATAGAAAAGTTAGCTATTAAAATTTTTTGACTCGCGATATGAGAGATGTCTTGTATTATGTTCCTTTAGACAATTTTACAATAATCTCGCGGATAGGAATTTTTTCGAGTAAAAATTTTATTTGCCTGGTGTAACTGTGTATGAACGAAATTGTCAAAAATGTACTTAATGCGTTAACATATCGAATTTCGCGATAAAACCATTAAAAAAATCAAACCTTTCAAAACTTTCCGTAACAAAATCTGTTTGCTACGGGTTTATTTGTTTGCTCAGGTATTATTTTACCCAACCAGAGCAACGAGTATCTAATTTTCTGTACGAGTGAATCTTTTGTTACGGTTCATTTCGTTTGTATTACATGTGGACGTGAATACAACCCCAATTAAAAAGTGTTATTGATTGATAAATAGGTCATGTTTTTATTAATCGTACGTATGCGCTTGTTTCCATTAGAGGGTAATACTCGTATTTAAACAGTCAACAAGAAAATCCAACATATTGTTGATTAAACCGATTCGTAAAATTGCTAGGGATATTTACCTTTCCTTAATTGAATCAGAATGTGCAGTGTTGCTTTTATTTCATTGTTAGTGAACGGGTTGATAATTGGTGTAAAGTTTAAACTCGTAGAACCAATAAATACCTTTAATTGAAGAATAATTCATTATTATTTAAGTTTACGTTAGACGCAATTTTCAGTAATAATTGCACCCAACTTTTCTACTACTGTAAATAAAATAATATACTAAAATCCAAAGAAAAAAGAAAAATACGTATTAATTCGTTGCTGTATCCAACCAGCTATTGTTCTGAACAAAAATTGTACCACAATGAATTGTTAGTTTTAAAAAATCATTATAAACTTCAAGTCATTCACTCAAGAATTTGTTTGAAAAATATTGCATGCAAACAAACTATTTTTGGCATTTTACAATCGCATACCATTTTACAGTTATTATTTTTGGAAATAAAAGGTTAATATATCAGCTTACTGGTTTGGGAACTCAGGAGCTGTTAAAACCTATACAACTCTAGAATATCAGATACTTTTAAATCTGCTGAAATAAACAAAATATATGTGCATGTATGGTAATGGTGAAAGGAAGAAATAAAAAGAAAATAGAAACATGGAGATAAATAATAATAAAATAGAAAATTTTGTAGAAAAGGATGAAAAGTAAGAAAAAGTTATAATAATATCAATAATAATTTAACAATATGGGATCATTGTGCAGATAACAGTTTTGATTGCAATTTTGCTTTAAATAAATTACAGGACAGAGAAAGATCAATAACGTTCTGTTTATTAATACATGAAACTATATTATAATTAAAAGAGCGTTTACAAATTTGCTTGCCATGATAAGGTATGTTTAATATATGTTTTCTGGGAATGTTTAAATTATGAACGTCAGTCCTGAATTTAATTTTCCTATGTAGATATGGAGCTAAGATAATTCCTTTAGTTTGTGTGAAATTCTTTGTGTGCATCTGATTCCAAATATAAATCTAAGACACGAGTTTTGCAATTTTTGTAAACGTTTAGAATCGATATTATCCAAGCACGGACCATACACATTATCACAGTAATTACATATGGATAGAATCAGGGAATCACATAACATTTTTTTATATCTCTTTTCAGATAGTGTCTGTTCGATTATACCATTTCCAACATAGAATACGCTTTCCCAAGAATACTAGTTACATGCTCTTTAAATCCAAGATTATCAATCAATAATAAGACCTAAATTTTTTGCCGAATCTTTAAACTCTAGATATACTATCATCATTAATTTTTATCATCAGTCTGTCCAATAAGTTAACTCTAATGTTGTTGACACAGAAAAGCAAGACAGCAGATTTGTTTGGGTTTATTTTTAACAAATGATTTTTAGACGCAGATGCTAAGTTACATAAATCGTTATTAATCTGAAAGTTACCATGGACTACTTCAGAGGGATTAAAAAATAGTAATCCGCATACATATGATACATACTGTAAACCAGCATATAATAACATTTAAAGTGGAGACATAATACAGCAACGGCCCTGATATACTTCCTTGTAGCACACCAGACAGCATGATACGAGGTTGTGAAAATTTATTATCGAGTGATCCTCGCTGCTTCCTATCACAAAGAAATGAGGTTATTAGCGATTTTCTTATCTTTTTTTATTATTCAATATTCAATATTCTTCAATATTCATTAGAACAATTTGTTTCTCGTTTATGTAAACTTTATGAGACCTAAAAATTGTCCAATGTGGCATATCGGATTTATTTGGTAAGGCTTAAGAAAATTCAGTTTGGTTCCACGGCAATTATAGTATTTGAAGCAACAAGGTCATATTCCACTCGTACAGAAGTCTTCCAAGATTCATATCTTTCAACTTTTCAAGATGATCAGTTCCGGAGGCAGATTTTCAAGAAGATAAGTCAATTTTCTAGGAGCCACAAGAAGCTGACGAACCGGTGACATAGCTAAGGTTTTATGATGACGAAAAATCATCAGAAGATTTCCGCATCTTTACTACTAATTCCTGTTCACCAGAATATACAACTTCAAGGTTTGTCTGCCTTACGACAGAAGAAGAAGTAGAAAACTAGATCTAAAATTGTAACCTCTTCACCTTGAGAGACTTCTTTACAAACTTCTCAAGGAAAACGGGACCAAGCGACTTAACAACAACTTAATGTAGGAAAAGATAATGGCAAACACATTATGCAGTGAATAATGTTACTATATTTTTTGGCTTGGTTCATGTTACATATTGGCTATCTGTTATTATGTAAATGCAGCTTTTTTAATAACGCAATTTTTAAATCATAAAATAATTTGAGTATATAATCCAAGGAGAAAAATAAAACAGTAATCCATATTATATCACTTTCATCAACATATCTTCTCAATGAAACATCACTTTGCGGTATGTACAATTTGCTAAGTGGGAGCAAATTTAAGAAATTGGAGAAATTCTCCTTATGGAAGGAAAGTATTAACTTCGGTAGGTGGTTGAACGCTATCTGGTGTATATAAGAAATGTGAAATGATATTCCTAACTGACTTATACATATAGGCCTAATTGTATTCACATTTTATTATTACTGATTAAATTAAGTTTTATATACTTATTTTTTTTGGATGTGTTATTTTGGATACAATATATGTGACATAAAAGAAATATAATTTGTAGACAATCTCATTGAATACCCAATCACGAGACACTTGTTTTTCTAAACGATGTGTCTTATACTTTTAATAATATTTTCCAGAGAAACAAATAGACTGACTTTGCGCTCAAACGAATTGAAAACAAATGGAAAGGAAATAGTACATTTATTATTCAACGGACCGAAATTGAATAATGACCGTAAAAATCCGTAGCCGTGCTCTGTTTCACAGAATCGAAACTAAATATTACCTGATGAAACCTTTGTCCGCCTCCATTGGACTGTAACATGCCATCCTGCATTGTGCGAAGTACTAAATATCTGACTCCTGGCGTAGATTCGCCAGAACAAAGAAAAGTTTTGGAACTTCCAACTTGATATAATATCGCTCATCACATCAGCGTAAGTGTGATGAGAAGTTAACATTATGTTGAGCATGTGTCTGGCAAAGTTACATGTCAGAATAAAACCGCTGTGCTGTTCATCAACTGCACTTAATTCTCTTAGATACACATAATGTGTTTAAACGTATTTGTTATTCATATCACCTGTGTTATATGCTTTGAGCAGTTTCATGGAAAATGCATCCTAAGTAACGTCAAATCGTCAAATGTTTTAATTTTTGACATTTACATAATGTATAAAATGTCACTTGAGCAGTTTATTTTGAATTATCCTGAATAATTTTATGGTGATTCGGCATTCTTTTAAAAGTGGAAGTTATAGTCTGTAACCGAATTCTCAACATGCATTCGATACCGTTTTGCTCTAGAAAAAGAATTTTTACTTGAATGAAAGAAAGATGGGGAGATTGCTACTGTTGCTGAGAGCAGCAATGACATATCAGCAGTATAATTTGTCAGCC